TTCTGGATTATGTATGCATTGAAACCATCATTATGTCTCTGTATAATTATTATTTTTTTATAAAAGTGGTACAAAAACAAAAGTTTCATTTCTCATTTTTCATGAAATCAAATTGTTTATCAATTTTTGATAATTTGCCAGGGAAATGAATGAAAAAGATTGAATATATTTTTAGATTTTCATATTCCCAAAAAGTTATTTATTCTCACAAATGCTTGTAACTTTTTTGTACCAGAATATGTTCAGATTGTCAATTTTTTATATTAAACGAACATACTGAGTGAATTAGTCAATCATGAATTTATTTAGACAGACAGAAACTAAAATCAAGACAGAAATTTGGGATAGAGACTATTATAAAATTATTACAGTGAACAAGCAAATGTGAAACATATCAAACTTACCGTTCTTATAGACATCAGTTGCAATATGTTTGGAAAATACGAAACAAATTCCGTTGGACCTAATGCTGATGCAAATTTAGGAATCACGTCGCCTGCAGACTCTAATAATATTTCGTCGTGTTCTGCCTCGGCATCCTCATCATTACTCTCTACAGCTTCTCCAAGATCAGTATCTTGGCACATCGTCTGTAAAATATTTCAGAATAATGGAATAATATTCGGAAAATGGTTATTGTGGGAGAGATGAAGAAAATCATGGTTCACCNGTAATTGCTGTAATTTTTCGACAATAAGTCCAGTTTTAATGCACGTTGGTAATGCACTTTTTTCCATGAAGTAATTCGGATATGATACATCTTGGTCATGATCATAGGTTTGATTCACTCATACAACAGAAAAACCCATTTTGACATGACCTGAACGTTGTTGTAATAAAATAAATAGATCCACTGATATCATAATCATTAAATTTTTTTAACAAATGGCAATAATAACCAAACTCACCTGAGGTAGAGGTATTCCATTAGGATTCACCAAAATCATTTTACTTATAGCACCGCATATATTATCTAAGGTACCAGCATGTGCTTCTTTAGCAACAGCAGACGAAAGAGCTTGTAATATTTCTGTATAGTTGCTGTAATGAAACAAAGAAGTTGAATGATAAATTGTCAACAAAACATTACCAACATACCCAAATATCTTATCTTTTCCATACAATATCATCTCTCCAAGGCCAAATATTGCATTGTTTCTAACTTCTTCGCACGAATCTCTGGCACCAGTTAACCATAATTGCAAAAGAGTCGGAACAAATTTTTCAACATATACATCCAAGGACTTCATGCACTCAGCTAAAGTTCCGAATGCAAACGACCTTTGACCTATACTGTTCTGCTTTTTCTGTAATGAATTGATAAAAATTCATATAACGGTGTCAAAAATAAGAAATAACACTTTCAATGTTTTTTTTACCACTTTTATTTGTAAATAATGTTCAGACCCCATGCCAGGTTATCGAATTTTCTTTTCAATGGCAAATATAAAGTTAACAAGATGAAGAAATCTGAAGTTTATAAGCTCAAGTATCCGGAGTGTAATAGTGTTTATGTGGGACAATGTGGTCGAAATTTCTCAAAACGGTATGCTGAACATGAAAGGTCCTTCAGACTAGTTAAAACCACATGTTCCTGAATCTAAACGATACGGAAATTTTGTACTATGTCAGCAAATCAAATCAAATCAAATCACTTTATTTTTTCAAGACAACATACAGTTAGTTGTATAAGAAAAAGTCATGGTTACAACCGCATGGTAGTATGGTCGGGATTTAAATGAAGGAATGTACAAAAGGAAAATAACAGTACATTAAGGATTATATAACACTATACAAAACATGTTTACATAATAAATATGCATATGCATAGTACACAGAATATTGACTTACATAAAAAACAGATTGACATTAAATAAGAAGTCAAATTAAAAGTATTCATTTAAAGAGTATAGACATTTCTCAACCAGGTATCCTTTGAGTTTTTTTCAAGTACATTCATGTCTTAAGCTTTTGATATTGGAAAGTAAGTTGTTGAAAATCTTTGCGCCGATTCGAGCTGGAGCTTTATAGGATATATTGCGTTTAGAGAGTGGTAATCATAAATCATCCTCACGGCGTGTGTTGTATTCTTGGAAATCTTCATTTATGAAAAACAAATCCCTAATTTTGAACACATAAATACAGATATCAAACATGTAGAGGCCTGTACAGGTCAGAATTTCAAATCTTTTAAAGATTTCTCGACAAGAATAGTATTTTTCACACCAGCAATACACCTAATGACTTTTTTCTGTGATACGAGGACGTTATTCGACAGTGTAGAGTCTCCCCATAGGCAAATACCATACCTCAGTCGACTCTCTACTTGTGCTTATACAAATTTATTAATTGTTGCTGTGTCGAAACAACTTTGAGATTCCTGAACATATAGTGGAGAGATGAAAGTTTGGAAATCAGGAGCTTGCAATGTTCTTTCCAATCTAAATGTGAGTCAACGAATAGTCCTAAGAATTTACAGCTGTTATTTATAGGCAGAGGTGTGTTATTTAAAATTATATCTACATCTACCAATTCCCTCTGATGACTATGGAATTTCACAAGGTTAGTTTTGTCTGCATTAAAATAGAGAGTGATTTGATTGAACCAAGAAGTTAGTTGGCATAGAGCAGTTTCACAGGTTTCTTTTAGTTCTATTTGATTTTTGTTGGAAATCAGTAAAGAAGTGTCGTCTGCATAAATAGTCACCTCAATATCCGGAAAGGAATTTGCGATCTCATTTATGTACAAAATGAAAAGAACTGGGCCCAAAATAGATACTTGTGGAACACCTATATTAATATCGGTATTGGCAGATGTAACATTACGAATTATATTAGTTTGATGATGTTTATTATTATTATTATTAAAACTTTCTGATGAGAGTAATGTAAAACACCATTTTGTAATATTAGGAAAACTTTTATTCATGTTATTAAAACAAACATTTCAATTTGAATTTTAAAAATAATCTAATGTG